AATAGCCAGATAAGTAATAACCTTCTTGGTATTCTCAGTTTTTCCAGCCCCAGACTCACCAGTAATCAACATAGCTTGATTCTTAGAGTTTTGCAACATGCCACGATAGGCAGTTTCTGCAACAGCCCACAAATGAGGAGGAGCTTCATTACGTCTCTTGCCCAAATAGATCTTAGAGCAACGATGAGTGTAAAGAGGGTAACGTTTGTAGGGGTTAACAACCACAACGAAAAGACCAGAGTAGGTATGGATCAACCTGGTCTGGTACCGGGTCTTCAAGTTCCAGAAGACAGAAGCATCATTAAGGAAGGTAAGGTTAACCATGTCCTCACATTTTTCAAACTTGGGAGGGTTAACTCTTCCAACTTCAGAAGCCTTGTGGGTAAATTTCTCATGGCCAACAGAAATAACACACTTGCTTCCAGGATCATCATCAACATCTCCAGATTCAAGGATTCCCTCACGATATCCATGAGTTTTAGGATCTGGGATCCAGACGGATTTCTTATTGTCATAAGGCTTAGCCTGGTCGGCTCTTTTAACTTCAATGGATGGAACCAAGAATTCAGTTGGATCAGGATCAACCTGTCCTTTGGCAAGCTTGATATGTCCAGGCATGGTGGCAGTCTATCCTACAAAGAAATAATGTCTAATAGAATGAGAATTTTAATTTCACAAGTTTAAACAGTTTTGTGTCATAATTGACCTTTTCCATGAAAAAAAAAAATTACATTAACATATTAAAGACCTACATTGAATATACACTATGAGGACACACATTGAAGACCCTCATTGAGTATAGACAATGAAGAAACACATTGAGAACACACATTGAAGACTTCCATTGATACAAAATGAGGACACACATTGAGAACACAAAATAAGGAGCTCCATTGATACACAATGAGGACACACATTGATATCACACATTGAAAACTCTCATTGATACACAATGAAGACACACATTAAGAACACATACTGAAGACTCACATTGATACACAATGGAGACACACTTTTAGAACACAATTAGAAGACCTCCATGATACACAATCAAGACAAAAATTGAGAACACAAATTAAAGACCTCCATTGATACACAATGAGGACACACATTAAGAACACACATTGAAAAATCACATTGATGCACAATGAGGACACACATTAAGGATGCACGCATTAGAGAGAACATCTTAATACAATAGGAAACGCAAAATTATGACGCACATTAAAGTGTGACATACATATGTAATTGCACCTTTCTATATTTGGATAAATACACTATTCAAATATGTATTGTATATCCAAGAATGAACAATGATGGCATACAACGTTTTTAGTTAAATGATGTTCTAGTTTTGGACTCGTTGAAACAAAGTTTTTGGCTAAAGAATTAGATGGGCATTCTATTTCAATGTAATTTGAATTAGAAACATAAGTTGAGTTTGTAATTTGCGTAGATTAAAAAAGTGTAAGTTTTCTTCTCTCTAAATCTTCTCTCTTATCTGAAACTAAAGATGTATTCCCTACCACTATTTATTTCTGTTGTTCTATGGTTGGTACCTGCAGTGGAAGAACTGTAGTAGAACTGCTGTAGTTTCGGAGATTTCATCTTATTTTATACTTTTTCACAGGATCCCGTCTTTACCTTTCTATCTGTACCATGGCAGATTTTGCGCCCTTTGGCCGGTCAGTGGGATATTACTGGTCAAGTGTCCGCTGGTCAAACAAAGGGGGAGTAGGGGGGGGGGGCAATTAATTTAAATCCAGTGCACGTGTAGATGTTCGATTTTATTTAAGAGCGTACTTCACGATTGTATTAATATCATCATTATCAGTATTATCATTTTTATGAAAAAATATATCATTGTTTACTATATTTTTTATACTTTTTTGATGTAAAACAAGAAGAAATTAACAATATACATTGAGAAATTGCCGATAGGAGCGCCAAATTCAATTAAAAACATTAATTTTATTTTCACTTGTTTTTAAAATTACATTATCTCACTTTAGGGGTTTAATTGACAAAAATTAAAAGTCAAAATATTTAACAGTTTTTGGTTTAAAAGATAACTTTCAACTTATTCAATCATATGAGAATTTTAAAATTTTATGCTTTGTTTTATGGAAAATATTAAACTCTATATCTTCATTTTTACCTTACTTTTACCTTACTTACTTTTCAATAAAAACAAATCATTATCTTAACTGTGACACAGTTTAAAACAAATACCAATGTTACCCAGAGTTTAACACTTGACTATAGGATTTTTCTTTTGATGGTGGAGATTTGCTCATTAAACTTTTTCTCGTCTTACATTTTTTATTTCAACAAAAAAAAAATATTTTGCATATTAAGCACCTTTTTAATGTGAAACTTAACTATATATTACTTTTATCTGAAAAAAAAACGAAAACAAAATTAATTTTGGTTCTTTTGTTTGTCAATGGGATTTTTTAAATTTAAAATGATAACAAATTGCTTCATATCGACGAAAAATTGAAAAATTGAAGTAACTGCAAACTGTTGTCAAGTTGAGCTAAGTGTGTGTTTTATTTATAGGGGTTGCCAACCTAGTCTGAAGGGACAATCCATTGTTTTTCTAACTGAAAATTGATCNAAAAATGTAGTTTCACATTACAACCTACAGTAAGAACCAGAAACCTCAGGAATAGAAAGACTCGTTCTATTAAATCGAGTATAAAACACATGAGATACCGCAATTGTGCAGTGCAAACAGACCCATTTCACTAAATAAATTGATTTTTAAGCTACTGTTTATGCTAAAACTATTTGCTTTGTAACAACATCAAATAACTAAATATTACTATATTGCCGTCTTCCTAGTTCACAGTTTTCTGGTTCTTACTGCAAGTTTCACAGCGAGGTTAAGAAAGAAAGGGACATTGATAGGGTTCATTATGCATTTAACCTAGTCATATCATAGACGCCGAAAAAGGCCCTAAATTACTTTCAATAATATTGCAAAGAGCAAGGCTATAATTCAAGGAAAGTTATTTCAGGGGTGTACGCATCTTTTGTACTGCAGTGTACTGTCTCAGGGTGTTATGTAAACAAAAGACGGATGTCACAGCCTGACATGGGATCCATCTTTTACATATAAAATCAATGAAATATTCTGGTCATAGGAAACTATTATGTGAATTATCAAAATTATCAAAATTTAATGCTTTTTACCACATCGGATACTAGACGATCACTGATGCATCTATTATTGTTTACAAATTCCGCCCAGAGAGAACTGGTTTCAATATGTACACAAAGTATGCGCAACTGTAATTAACTTTCCTTGCATTATAACCTTGGCAAAGAGCAAATGGTATACAAATCAAATGTCGTAGTTTTTTATTTGTATTAAGCAAGTGGCAACTGAGCAAATGGTATTAAGAGTAAAATTCGTGGTTTTTATCAAATACGTAAGTTGCAACTGAGCTAATGGTATTAAGATAAAGTGTCTTGGTTTATATCCGTATTAAGCAAATGGTGTGAACGGTAAAAGAGAAATGTCGTGGCTTTAACAGATTTAGAATGGTTAGCTACATTATTTGAAATATTTAAAACCTGAACTCCCAGAGATAAAAATACAGTTTCTGACTTAAACAGAATTAATGAATTTATTTACTTTTGAGTTAGGAAGAATGTACACATTGCAGTACACAGAATCATGATCAGATCATCCATGTTTATAATTAATGTGATTGTGCAGTATACTGTGTACTGCACAACTATTTGCAAAAATTCTTTTAAAATTCCTTTTTCAACTTTAATGGCTCGCGTCTACGTTTACGTAACTAAGAAAATCGCAACGTGAAAAGTCATACTCCGACAGCAGATGCGTATTGGGGGGGCGACATGCCCCTCCTAGCCCCCCCCCCCTTGATGCATAATATATCAAACTTCTTACATTTATAGTCTTGTCTTATAAACTGACATTTTTTCCATTTTATGATAATTTCTTAAATTCTTAATTAGACCTTATGAGCTAAAGGAAGTGTTCGCGAAAAATGAAAGGGGGTAGAGGCTTAAGTAAAAAAAATGCAATATTAGACTCGGATCGTAAAAACATCAATTTAATTTTAAAGAAATCATTCAGATATTACAACCTATAATCGTCGTTTTTTTTTCGACGCATTTCGAAAATTAGTCTTTTCTTTCTTTTTTTACTTATTCAGACGACTAAGTACAAGAAAGTAAATAAGCAGGAGCAATAAATTTGGTCGAGGGAACCCGTGGATGAGAAAAATTTTTAATTTCCCGTAAAAGTAGTTGCAAAACATTTTATCGACTTTTGAGATGAAAATGTGTGAATTCTTTATTCTTCTTCATATAACGGGTCGTTATTTTTCCTATAAATTGTCCCAAGGGACGTAAAGTAAATTACATTTCCTCTGTTGAGGGAATCATGGGTCGGAAATGTTGGTCAAATGGCGGTAAAAAACTGTATGCCCAGATGATGAACATATCCTAAAACCCGAATATTCCCGGCTAAGCTGGGTTAAAATTTTCTCTTTTTTCTCTTGGGTTTATATGTAAAATATCACCCCAGCTGAGTTCACCTTTCAAATTTAGAACATTCTAAATCATTTCCGTGTCTACTTTTCAATCTTTTATCGAAAATAAAAGGAAACACAGATACAAAATTTAATATTTTCAATATACAGATCAAAATTTGTTCATACGTGATACTATTATGTATTATATCTATGCATTTCACATGATCAATTACAAGTTCAATGTTCCATTAAAGGTTTGTATGACTTTCTCGTTTTTCTGCATAACTTTGGAATAGTCCAGAGCTGAAAACTTTAGAATGTGATATCCTTAATCCTGATCTATTAATTAATCTGGAGTTATATTCATGAGGAGAACAAGCAATATTTAAACTGGAGATTAAGAAAAAGAGTGGATCAAGCAATAATCCCGATATCCACCATTCTAAAGTTCCCAGCTCTGGTTAGAAATGTTCTGATGAGCTGAAGATGAGTGGAACTGAAAAAGCTTATGAAACTGAAGAAGCTTCTGGATCTGAAGAAGCTTCTGGAACTGAAGAAGCTTCTAGAACGGAAGAAGCTTCTGAAAGTGAATAAGCTTTTAGAATTTAAGAAGCTGCTACTGGAAGTAAAGAAGCTGCTGGAAGTGAAAAAGCTTCTGGAACTGAAGAAGCTTCTGGAACTGGAGAAGCTTTTGGAACTGAAGAAGCTTTTGGAACTGAAGAAGCTTTTGGAACTGAAGAAGCTTCTACAACAGAAGAAGCTTCTGAAAGTGAAGAAGCTTTTAGAAGTTAAGAAGCTGCTAATGGAAGTAAAGAAGCTGCTGGAAGTGATAAAAATGCTAGAAGTGGTGAAGCTGCTGGAAGTGATGAAGCTGCTGGAAGTGATGAAGCTGCTGGAATTGAAGAAGCTGCTGGAAGTGATGAAGCTGCTGGAAGTGATGAAGCTGCTGGAAGTGAAGAAGCTGCTGGAAGTGATGAAGTTGCTGGAAGTGAAGAAGCTGCTGGAAGTGATGAAGCTGCTGGAAGTGGTGAAGCTGCTGGAAGTGGTGAAGCTGCTGGAAGTGATGAAGCTGCTGGAAGTGATGAAGCTGCTGGAAGTGATTAAACTGCTAGAAGTGGTGAAGCTGCTGGAAGTGATGAAGCTGCTGGAAGTGAAGAAGCTGCTGGATTACTAAGATTTATTTGAACATGGAAAAGCAGGAGAACATAACGAACATCATAAGTTTTGTAGCAGTTTATTTGAGTCCACAGAGATGAAGGTAGCAGGGAATTTATACATAATACATTATTGGTTCATTATCGATAATTATTTATTTCCTTATTGTTAACTTGATTTAATGTTAAGTTTCTTTAATACTAAAATGTAAGGAAGGTTTGACCTGAATAATCGGTCAACTTGGGTTCAAGTCTAAAGATCAAAGAGAATAGAATATATTATTATATTGTAAAGATTTATTCACACACAAAGATATAAATACATATATAAATGGTGTAGTTTAAATTTGTTTAAATAATTTTTTTTTGAAAATACAGGTTTCCAAAAGAAAAGAGAAAAAATATGCAAAATTATGCACAAATAGAAAACATTGTTTTTTACTCACTACATAACATATTTATCATTTCAGTTATTACGTAATCATCGAATCCTTCAACATATAAATTATTCATTCTTGTATTTAAAAGTTCTTGTAAAGCCGGAACTTTCCATGTATGTTCCAATGGGACATCAAAATATTTCAATTGTTTCTGAACTAACATTTTACTGAGATCCGAAGGATTTACAGAACAATCATTTGCAATAGAAAATAAATTTCTGCTAAGAACTGTGTTGAGGTCATTTTTACATAAATTAGAAAGAAATCTAATGCAAAGCTTAGAACTTGCTTCATTATTCTCATAGAAAGACACAAATCTGCTAGCTAACATAGTTTTTACATGTAAACATTGTGAAATACTTTCAATCAAGTACCTATGCGTATCTCTAGGTACATTAAGAAGAATTCTAATAGCAGTATTCCATGCTGTATACAATATTGAAACACATTGGGAACTCAAGTCCCAAATACTAGATCCATAAAAACTACAACAGTAAATATTATACAGTTTCAAAATAACATCAGGACTGTTAAAATAAAATTCTTGGTTAAGGGAATGAATTTTTGAAATGAAAATAGCTCGTTTTTTATTGCAATCTATGGTCATTGAATTATCACTTTGCAGAACATTTCCTAAATGTTTTAAGTCGTTAACAAATGGTAAAGGTAATTCATTCAATAAAATTGGGGTTATTTCATTATAATGAATCCTTTCTTTAGAAAAAATAAGGCATTAGTTTTACATTTTTCGATTCGAATATTTGTACTAAATTTCAGTTTAGTAGCTATGGCAAAATTTTCACAAATTTTCACCATTTCCTGAAGACCTGTTCTGCTAGGAGAAAGAAGAATAATATCATCTGCATATACCCAGATGCCCATATAGACACCCTGGATTTGGTATCCAATCGTTGAACATCGTAATAACTTGATAATTTTGTCAATGTAAATACAGAATAGCACAGGGGAAGAAACTGCTCCTTGTCTGACTCCATTTTGTACATTGAAGGTGTTTGAGAACGCATTACCCCATCTAACATTACATTTTTGATTTTAGTAAATGAACATTAAACGCCTTAATGCTAGAGGTGAAACACCCCTCTCCAATAACTCTGTGAAGAACACTTCCCATGACACAAGATAAAATGCCTTACTCAGATCCATTGCACAAGCATAAACTGCTCTACCAGCTCTGTTGTAATAATCCACTACAGAGTTGTTAGAGTGGAATTTAGAAAATCCCTTGGTATGAAAGGAATTGAATCTTTGCGACAAACTCTGATTTTTTAGTTTTTGTATTGTCCCAACCAAATGTCGTAGACTTAAGATAAATCAAACTTTGAATTATGTTAGCTTAACTTATCTAAGTTTGAAATATTAAATGTGTACAACATTAGGTCGCTAAGATATTGGAATTCGAAAATTTAAGTTTGTGGCAAAAACTCAATTCCTTTGTCAGTCTCTTTCCTCTTTCAGCCTGAAAGGGAGTTCAAAGTGTACAAATCATGTGAATGTTCACAAATTATATGCAGTAGAGTACACTAATACAGTATGTTCCCTAGACTATCCATTTCAATTTCGAATTTTTTAAAGCTGTTAAATAAACTTTATAAAATGAATAGGTGAATAAAAAACATCATTTGATAGTTATAACGGAAAATAATCGTTTGTAAAATGAAAGGCATAAAGTCTATGTGAAATGATCATTGGTCTCATTGGTCAATTATGAAACCAGCCTATTTCATAATTTGGTTTTCTTTTAATATTATTTTTAGATTTTCTACAAAATAATGTTCTAGGGCCCAAAAGGTTATATAGCACAATTATGTGAAGTATACCTGCAGTATGGAAATAGTACTACAAAATGGCCGTTTTACACTTTTTTCTAGTAAATTCCACTCTAATATATATTCTATTCTCTTTGCTAAAGATAGATACGGAGAAATTGGAAAGGTTGTTTATATCTATTTTTAACTTTTAATTGCTTTTACTAACATATTGTTTGTCTTGCTCATGATTTTAGAATATTAATTTAAATCGTGAAAAGTCTAAAACTATAACTCTCTACAAATTTCATAATTAAAGTAATTTAGTAAATTATGGAATTTAGAACAAATACATGTTCCTAGGTTTGTAACTTTGAAATGAACATAAGTTTTCTGAAGAAAATCAAATTTTTCTTGAAAATCATATTTTTATATTATTGGATGTTTTACTAATCTAAATAAAAAAATACTGCCTTGATAAGTGAGTTATGTCGATTAAAATATTAAAATATAAAATTTATAATATTTGGTTTGGAGAAAAGAAAACTTTAACTGATTTAATGGGACTGTATGTACAATTTCAAGTGTCCCTTAATGCTAAGATTTTATTTGAAATCAAACGTGTTTTCGTCTATAATTCAACAATCTTTAAACTTATGGATTTGTGTATCTTTACTTTTTCATTCAAAATGTATATGCCGACAAAAAATCACTTAAGAAAAAAGGCTATAAAATAATGTTTAATGGGTCAAATTGTGATCGAAAGTCACAGCTTTCTGAAATATTGACAGAACCGTTAAATCCATGTGTTCCGCTTTCAGAGATATATTAGCTATCAGAGATCTATCAGCTTTCGGAGATCTATCAGCTTTCGGAGATCTATCAGCTTTCGGAGATCTATCAGCTTTCGGAGATCTATCAATTTTCATAAATCTATCGGTTTTCAGAGATTTATCTGCTTTAAGAGATCAATTCGGTTTTCAGAGTTGTATCTGCTTTAAGAGATCTATAGGCTTTTAGAGATATATCTGCTTATATAAATATATCGGCTTTTAGAGATATGTATATAACCTTGCAGAGATATAAGGATTTCTGGGATTATAATTTCAATGTAAGAATCCAGAACCCCATTTAGTGGTTTTTTTATTCCACTGCAGGGATTAGGCATCCTAGGGATTTACAATTACGATATACATACAAGGGGTTCACAATCCATCCATACACGGGGTTCACAATCCATACATGGGGTTCACAATCCGATATCTAATCCATGGGCCGGGTTTTTAATTCCAACTGTGTTCTGAATTTTCCTAAAGGCTTCCCAAGTCGCAATTTCCCAAGTGGCAACTTTCCAAATATTCAATTTCCCGAGCGGCAACTTCCCAAAGTTTAGGTAAGGCCTTCTTTGGTGCTGCAGGCTGCAATATGGGGGCAGAGAGCTGGGGTATCGGGCGGAGCACTGCGGCTAGGACGGGCTTGGGAAGTAGCCACTAGGGAAATTGCACATTTGGAAAATTGCCATTTTGGAAAATGCCCTTGGGAAGAGACCGCTGGGGAAACTGCCTTGGGTCCCAAAAAATTGTGGTGGTAGCTGGAGCCTCAATTTTGGACCAATAGAGACGATTTGGGACATATTAAATTGAGTGGGTTAAATTCAAAAGAGAAAGTTTAATTTGCAGGCAAAGCTGGGTTCCCAACTTCCCGAGTTAGTATATATATATATATATATATATATATATCCATAAAATAGTAATATATGCTTGTCCGTCTGTTTGAATGTGCGATCATAACTAAAAACCCTTTGACATATGTTCCTCAAATTTTATTTGGATAACTCAGTAGAACCACGGCAATGTTCTCAGCTTGGTTTTAAAATTTTGGAGGGAAAATTTCAGTGAATGTTAGCCGTTGGATTCCTATCATATTCCACTGATTTTACCAAGTTCCTCAATCAAAGTTTGAGGCAAATCAGTTGAGGGGGTCACGAGTTTTGATCGTACAAACAAACAAACACTAAGCACCCAAACAAGCATTAATTTTTGACTTGTTAGTTAGTTTGCATAAAATAAACGTCTAATGGGTCAACCCAACCAAGGTATCTCACATGACCCCAGGGATCGAAATTGAAAGTTTTTAATATTTCCAATTTTGATTTCCTTTTTCTGATGGATTTCAAAAAATTTAAAACCGTTAAATTTTTCAAGACAAAATTTTGCCCAAGAAATACCAACTTAACTCTGTTTATTTGTATGCAATCAAGGCCCACATTTGTTGTGATAACTATTACATCAATAAAGGTTAAATCAAATCAAATTATTAATAATAAATCATGACAATTATTAATAAAACATTAGTACATTAAATATATGTTTAACTACTGCAGCAGGAGAGCTTTGATAGCTTAGAACTGTTTTCACGAAGCTCTCCTGTCATCCTTGAGATAATAATTTTTAGAAGAAGGATAGAAATGGCAGTTGGTAGGGTAGGGAAGGATAGAGGTAGCAGTTGGTAAGGTAGGGAAGGTTAGAGATGGTAGTTGGTAAGGTAGGGAAGGTTAGAGATGGTAGTTGGTAAGGTAGGGAAGGTTAGAGATGGCATATTTTTTACGCGATATTTTAACTCATTTTTCTTTGCATAAATTTCAATCCTAGATCTAGAGTATTCCAATGCAAGCCAAATCTATTTAAAACTGAATACGAATAAGCGGTAAAAGATATAATCATTATTGATACGAAAAGCGTGATAACTATTCACGGTTCTATTATTTTTAATAATGAATAATATGATGTTATTTTATCTGTCTTGAAATGTTGTTAATTCTCTTCCTTCTCTGTTGCATTACTCAATAATTTCTGCTCCACCATCCATGGGTGTAAGGGTACTGTTGTGAATAGGGTATGCTTTTCTACTGATGGTTTGTCACATTTTTGTAGTTTCTTGAAAACAGTATGTTAACGTTATTTTGAACAACAACATTGTTTTTATTATTTCCGGTCTGTTGGGGCAAAGAAACACATTGTATCATCTTTTAAGCAAAGTTTGGGCAATTCTTTAATGTTAATACAGGACAAACATACTAAGCATCAATTAAGGTTTTTGTTTATATTACTAGATATTGAAAGATTGATAGTTTTAATGTTAAAAATAATCAATCCTATAGCATCAATTACTTTGATAGAAAAAGATAATTTCTCAAACTTAAAACGTGCAAAAAATGTCCTACAAATATGATCAAATATTTTTTATTTCTCGTAAGAATGAAATTCTAGCTTTTCAAGCTTTTAGGTTTTATGAAAACCTTATTCTAACTATCTAAGGGATTCTTTGTAGATAATTCTCTGAATAAATTGATTAAAGATTTGAGTCTTTTCTACTAACTCTGATTTTCCAATCCCTAGATCTTTGCAACCCAATGTCGCAGACCTTAGATATTTAAAAATATGAATTATAGCAAAGATATAGAAAGACTTTCAACTCCTTCAGTAAAATTCTTATAAAATAAAAGTACAGAATGTGGATAGAATTCTCCTGGATTAGCTAGTGAACTATTGTTTGCTCAAATTTAGAAGAATTTAGAAAATGTTTGATAATGGGTTTGAACTGGGGGAAAAGGATTCAGGTCGGAGACGCACTTTTCAGACAAACATTTTAGATTTAATCAATCTAAGATAAATCAATTACTTTTCGTGAAATAAATTTTCGGCGTTATTTCGATTTAATAAATGCACAAAACGCTTCACACCTGTTCTTTTGACTGCATGAAATAAGGGGTTGTATTCTCAAGTTTAATTTTTTTTATTTATCAAATATTTTTCTATTTTTCAGCTGTAGAAATCCACCAGTAGTAAGTTGTGGAAAAGCCGCAATCAATCCTTTTCGATTTTTATATCACCTTTTTCATTTATAAAAAAAGGTTTGTTAGGTACTACAGAATTAATTTGTTTTTGTTACTTTTCAATTATATGAAATGTCACTAAAACTTTACCATCGTAATGATATTATAAAAAGGAACTTAACATTCTTCATTAATTATAATTTTTTAATCACTATCTCTTTGCAACAGAATGGTGTGAACCTTTATTATTTCAAACTTAGACAATTTGATCGAACAGAATTCAAAGTTTCTAATATCGAAGTCTATCATCATCAGACATCAGGTTGCAACAATAAAAGAATCATTATTCAATTACTTATTCAGTTACTTTACCCCCAAAAAAATTATTATTTTTAATTTCCCCTGACTGAAAATGTTGGCTCTGATAAAGTCTATTAAAATAGTTGAGCTGAATCAAGAATCCAGGATTTGATCAAGAAAGCAGGTTATTTTATAAATAGATCAAGGATGAGAAAATAAGAAAACTACACGCGCAACTAATTTCTTCTCGTTCAGCTGAACCTTACTAAAATCGTTTTTGCATAATTTTGGTTCAACATCTTTCAATAAACCACCCTGACACCATTTAGGCCATATCGGGTCCCTAAAAACGGGCGTATTTGGTCCAGTAACAAAAAAATTAAAATAGAAATGACAAATATAAGTAGTACATTTTTTTAGCCATATACGTTTATAGATATATATTTATAAATAACAAGTTCGGGAACACAGCTTTGCCCGGAGATATACACAGTTTTTCAAACCACACTAAAAACATTCTCGTAAATCTACAGAACTCATAAATCATAATTTATAAAACATAAAAGTCTATATTTGAATAATGTCATTATCGTATAAAAACCTGCATACATATTTTCATCACAAAGCTAATAACTTTTAAAATATAGAGTATTTTTACATCTTACATGGTATATTAAAACATATTATTTTACATCTTACATGGTATATTAAAACATATTATTTTACATCTTACATGGTATATTAAAACATATTATTTTACGATATTTTCATCTAAAAGTTTACAATATTTTTTTAAATGGCTTCATTGAAATGGAGTCAATAGACAAGTAAAAATTATTCTCATCTTATTTAAATGGTGGTTAGTGGTTGTATGAAAATTAGAGTTTAAGTTAACATTAAACAATGAAACAATAAAACAATGAAACCATGAAACCATTAAATTAAAAGGATTGTTTAAGAAACTCTTCTAATTTAATTCACTTGATTCTTTCATAAAAATTTTGTTTATTTAAAACATCATTAATTTTGCTTGTGTAATATATATGCTTAAGGGACTGTAAGCATAATTGTAAGGGACCGGCCCTCCGTGCAAACATAGCATTGCCCGATTAACAACTGTACTGTTTATTTGATCAAAAATGTGGAAGATAACGTCGTTTTTCTGATTGTAAAAGTGTTCCTTTCCGTCAATTTCTCCATTGTTTCTTAAGAGCAGGAATTGCGCGAGTCACTTTTACAAGTAAATTCAAAATGAAAATATACATCATCATGTTCATGTATCTAATGCATACTTTATCAGACAAAGCTTTTAAGAGCACCGTTGTACATATTAGCATTGCCATCTTTGTATGGATTATCACTTGAAATTACGCGTACAATCCCTTTAATTGACGCTTCATGTCGCTCTCTTTATAATTTTACTTTTAGCTTTTTGTTGCAAACCTTTCTAATTCGTGCAGATAAAACTAATTATAACTAAAAACTTGCTAATATTGGCGAATTTCCCAACAAAGTAATAAAATCCTGTGAGGACTTACTTTTAAATTTGAAACAGTCTCCCAATATATTTAAATAGGTTTTTTTGTTAAAAAAATGTATTGAATCGTGTGTACTTTCTTAAAAGTTTAACTTCTTGTAATTTGTATTGTTTTTATATGGGGATTTTGCAGTTAGATTCCGGATACATTTCTAAACATGAATCACTTGGTGGAATCTCAGGATATTTGTCTAAAATCAAGGATTAGTTCAACTATTTAAATCTAAAATTGTAAATAATATAAAATCTTTAAATCTATATGTAGATAAAAAGTGTGTAGATAGGATAGAAAACCCTGAGATATTCTAGAATCAAGCCATTTAAACTTTTCTTTTAAGTTCTTTCTTATAAAACACTGCTGTCAATAAGTATTAATGCTTCAAATATCGTGAAAAAGAAAAAATACTTCAAATAGGTTATAATTGTCATTTATAAATGGAGAGCTTTCAATTTACTTGTTACTAGCTAAAGGGCCCGGCGTTGCCCGTGGAAAAATTATATATCTATATGTTTATTATATTTCTGTTCATAATATATATTGTATACTTCATTTTTACCTGAGGTTAATGATACAGTTGTTGATCATTGGTTCTAGAATAAACTTTTAAGGTTAACTCTCAATGAGGAACTCTTAAAATCCAAAAGTTCTGAGTCAAAAATTATGAATTAAAGATCAAGAGTTAAGCTGGTTTTTAATAAACATATATAGTGAACTCTCAATGATGAACTTTTTTAATCCAAAACTTATAAACCGATAATTTTAAATCAAAAAGCAAGAGTAAATGGTTCTTTTATCAGAAGATTGATAATCTTTCAAACCAAACCAAACCAAAATCAAGAAAACTAAATTTTCCATTCCTGGCTCATATTTTAACTTTTTTGTTTGCTTGAGATCAAAACTTGTGAATTGTGAATTTCGGGATCAAGCAGTTACCTGTATCTTATGTTTAATCATACGGATTAGATTCATTCCTCTTGGATATCTCGTGGTTGGTTACCCTCCAGTGCTAACTAGAAGTAAGGGATCAAGCGTGGAGGATTAGCGCTATTTCAAAAGTTTAGACCACTGAACAAGTGATTGCGCTACATCATTATGATTTCAATATTAGCAATTTATCTATTTTGTGATTATGTTGGATCTTCATCTCAACTCTCACACATTTACTCAAGCATTCACGAGAGTAAAGAGATCTCAATAGAACATGGGATTATAGACGCTGATAATAATGCCACAGACCTTAACCATCCAGTGGTTCTATTCAAGCTTGTCAGTAAGTTGTACAGGTTTGTACAATGTACTTTTAATGCACTTTTTCGCTTTAAATCTGCAGTACAAAATACAAACTGTTTCGAAGGTACAGAGATAATCAGAAAACTCTGGAATAGGAAGTCGAGTTTCAGACTCAAGTTACGGCTTTATTGAACCTAATAAACTTGAAGCACAAAAAGTGTGCAGCGTGAACACACCCATTTCACGTAATAAGTGGTTTGACAACTTACTATCAAAGCTCTTCGCTTAATGCACTTCAGAGATGAGATTTTGAAAGCTTTAACCCAAGTAAAATCCGGTCTTTGCATCTGCTTGACCCAAGTTCATGCCAGGACCCGGGTTTTGGATGGCCTTGAGTTTAGTAAAAAGCAACCACCATCATGAGTTCTTCTCTCTTTAGGGCTCGGGTCTTCAGCAGCTGATTATATTTGTACATTTAAAATTATTTTTGGTGTCACATTTGATCAAAGGTATGAAATAAACATACTATAAAAATAATGTATTTACATAATGTTCGAATTTTCGAAATTTACATCTCCTTGTCACAGCTGATCTACCGGCAACCTGTCTGCTACAGAAAGAAAGCTTTCTAAGCAGTCTCTAATTGGTCGAATCAGAGCCAATCCTGACTTTGGTTCTATCTGAGTCCGAGTCCGGGTTTCACTCGAATTAAGCTTTTAAAATCTCAGCTCAATATTGCTTTAATGTCGTCTTCCTATTCTACAGTTTTCTGGTTATCACTGTATCTTATAGAACGCATATATATATGTCACATTTAAGTCACATATATCCAGATAGCTATGAAAAGCTACAACATTTTTTAAGAAGGGGCGACTTTGAGCTATCGTAACATCTTAATCTTTTGTACAGCTCAAGAAACGTACATTTTTGAACTGTGATAAACTTTATTTAATAGTTTTAGCTTAAAAAAAGTAATTGGCAAAATTCACATCGACTTTTGCTTGTAAGCTTGCGACCGAATTGTTGGCAATGAACTTTCGTAAAAAAGGAAATAAGTCTTTGTAACAACAATCTTTAAAACCTGATGATGTAAACCTTTGATCTTTCAAACTATAAGTTTGAAATATCTAGGGTGTAAGACATTGGGTTGCAAAGAAATAGAGACTCAATTACTTTGCATATTTCACACCAAGTTATACTAGTTTTTTTAGATATCCATATTTATTTTTACAAATAATGTATTTTATTTTTTTAATTAAATGATTCTGTTAAAGGATGAATATAGTATCAGGAGTTGATCTGCTAGGAGCAGGGATTATTAATCTATGATTAAACTGTTAAAGGATGAATGTGCTCTCAGGAGTTGATCTGCTAGGTGCAGCAGCAGGGATTATTAATCTGCTTAAAACTTACAATATTAGCAAAGGTGAACCTTACCTAACCTAACCTAACCTAACTTAACCAAACTATAATTTTCTAGTCCCTATATCTTTGCATTTAGATGATATAAACCTCCAATAAAAAATGCATAGTTTGAAATGTATAGTTTAAAGTATTAAAAGTCAACAACATGAGGGTACAAAATAAATCTAAAAAGTTATTATTTTCAATTGCGGTTTCTCTACAAAAGTGAATTCAGGGTACAGCAATGAAAAATGTAAAGATATGTTTATTATTATATTATTAAGCGGCATGTCTGATTCACAACAATACCCAAGACAATACAATTTTGTCTAATCTAGGATCTTCATTTGAATTTTCAAAACCTCTGCTTGACACAAAAAAATTCATAATTCTAGGAGCAGAAAAAAACTTTAAAGGGAACCGTTGCGAATCGGACATGACATCTCTGCATCTAAAATCACGTATAATGTCCCTTTAAGCTGAACTGGAGGAAGTAGGAGAACTGAAGGAAGATCACAAGTTTGATGACGAGGATGATCTTCTTCTTCTTCAAGTTCAACAACTATTAGAAGAACAAGATGGAGAAGATGTTGACAATAATTTTCCTTCTTTAGGAGTGTTTTTCAGCTTCTAATAATTTCTATATTTAAATATCTAAAAACTATGCTTATAGAGCGATTCACACCCTTTTCTAGAATCAATTTTTTGCTGTTAACTGTGGCTCTGAAAGCTGACATATTTCTTTGTAAATCGTATTTAGCGCATTTTTTTTTGTTAAAATTTGCGCATTTTCCAAAAAATTTTCTGGGCAAATTTTTACATCTTCCCCATCCATAAGCCTTCCCCCCTTCTTTGTTTTTGGTTTTTGACTTTTTGTTGTTGGCAACTTTTGAATTGACAAAACTTATTTTAACCTGCAGGTTAAATGAGTTAACTCATTATCTTCTTTCTCATTGGCCTAGAATGTGTATGTTTGATCAATGAAGCGCCAGTTCATGTTTACAATTGGTTTCATGACAAAAAAAAACTGATGAATATTTGTTCAGAGGATTCTTGTGGTGAACATTTAACCATATTTACTGGAGATCAATATTGCTATATCGAAAATGACATTAAAAACCTTTTCATCCAGGTAAAAAATTAATATTAAAACTTTTATTACAAAGATCAGTGGTTTTATCAGTACAATAAAGACGACTTTTTATTAATAATGCTTTGATCCCTAAAAGGCATTTTTCAAATTACAAGTATTAAGTTTCACGTTTCAAGTAAACGAAAAGAAGATGAATATCAACAACTTTTCTTTGTTTATATGTTTTTGTGTCTCGGCTGGAAATAGAAAGTCGTCTTCCTTGCATTGATATAAACGGCGACGACTGTAATTTTATTACTTTTAAGGTTGAAGTTTTAAGCTCAAATCCATCAATAAAACTTTATCATCAAGTGTATTCACAACATGAGGTCAACAATATTCTTTCTATAGGAAAGTTGATCTTCTAAAAAATGGTTTGGACAAAAAAAGACTTGTTATTAATTTAAAAATAAATTATCAAAGATGTTACTTCAAAATCAACACTTCAGTACGGAAAAGACCGCTGACCCACATGTATGAAATTTATGAAGAGTATTTAAGGTAAAGGCATCAACTTTAACAATTTACATTTTATTATAATCTTTTTTAACATTTATTTCAGAGATCTTCCGGTTAACAAGGTTTACCAATCTTTATTTTTCCATTCGAAGGAAATAAATCCACGAGAAGTTGATGATTTTATAAAAACGCGGCATTTTGGGCGGGAAGGCAAGATCGTCTTCCCTGAAAACTCTTCAGCTGATGTTGAGATGATTGAGCGGAAACTTGTTAAATTCAACATAATAACTCCAGAACAAAGAAACAAAGCAAATTTACAGGTTAAAATAAAAATTTTAAAAAATGATTATTAATTATCATAAATTCAAAAAAGTTTACCAAACAAATGTTTCTAGATTGGTACATATGGTATTGGGGGATATCTCACTCCTCATTTTGACACTTTTAGACAGCCTGGAGATCAGATTGACACAGGTAAAAAAAATGTAATGCAGGGAGAGTTACCCTTATAAAACATCAGTCTTTACAGACAACTTTTTTCTTTGTATTATTATTTAGAAAATTTTAAGAAAATGCAAAATAAATCTATATAATAACTCTCTTTGATCACATATATATATATATGTATGTTAGCTATAGCAGAGCAAACGGTTAGTCAGAATTGACTGAATTGGTTTGAAAAAATTTCATAATCTAAATTATTTTTTATATTTGTATCTGAATGTTTTTTCAAAATTCGATTTCTGTTAAAAATTCCAATGGCAACGCCGGGCACTTCAGCTAGTATATAATAATCTTGAAAATGATTTCTAGAGGTTTGAACTCTTGTATTGTGGATATCGAGATCAATGCTTAATCTTGGTATTTTGTTAACCTAAAGATAGATTAATTTAATCTTTATTCGATATCCAGTGGTAAGGTAATCGTTTATTCTGAAATAACTGAAAGAAAGAAATCAAGCATTGATCCTCAGATTAAAAGTGCCCGCAGTGGATATCAAGATCCAGCGTCCAACACAAAATGTTCTAAAAATGCTGGGTTTCTAAAATATGCCGCGTAGATGCTGGTTTTGAAGAATGGCGGGAAACTGTGATGGGATTCTTGAGCACTGTTCCTCACGGGGGAAAAACTGTTTTTCCCAGGTCACATAAATAAATATAGATTTTTTCAATACTTTCATCATACTTTACATTTGAATTAAACTTGAAATAACAAAAGGAAAAATATTTATAAAGAGAATATCTGTTTCTTATAAAATGAAGAGAATAAATAAAAAACTGGATGTAAAAGTCGAATTACTTCAGACTTGGCCTGCAGATAAAGCCAAGAGCTGGAGATGTCCTGGTTTGGACAAATATAGATCAACATAATCAGGTCAAACAGAACAAGAATCAAAATCCTTTCTACCCTTTATTTGAAAATTCTTTTGGATTGATTTTAGATTATACAAATCTCAAAATAAATAAATATTTGGATGACATTTTTTTGAAAATTATGAATAAAATGTTCAATTTACACTTTACAGCCTTTAAGGCTTTTTGTGTGGGTCGAAATAAAAACTTTACTATAAATTTTTCCAGATATTTATTCATTCTTTACCAAGGAGTATGAAATAGAAGGGAGATACAACTGACGCGACCCGCCCTACCATATCATTATACATGCTTTACAGACGGTACTTCATTTTTATAAGAAATATTCAGAATATGTTATTGTATATGCGGTAATTGTACATCAGCCAAATATTTCTTATACAATTGGAGTACCGTCTGCAAAACATGTTTAATCATATGGTAGAGTGGGCCACGTCTGACGTCAGTTGTATCTCCCTTCTATTCCATACTCCAATTTCAAATGTATGATTTCGTTAATCATATTCATAGTACAAACAAAAGTAAATTTTTGTATTTATTTTAATTCTAGTTAGTGCAGCCGTTCAATGCTTAGGTTGAATAATTTTATAAGTGAATTATGTATTGGAGCAGGTTTAGTCCGTTGAAAATATAATTGTTTAGAAATATTGGCAATTCCCCAATATAAACAGGAAATCATTTAGTTAAATTATTTACAACAGAAAACGAAGTAAAGTTTATTTTTCAAGATTATCATTGTTAATTTTTATATTTTTAGATTTACCTTAATTCACTTCATGCTGGCTGTCCTGTTGTATACGGAGAGAAATGGGTCTTTAACAAGTGGGTTTTACAATAAAATAATGTAAGAATAATTATGTAAAGAAGGGAATTATTATTATACAGTTAAACCCAAAATATTTAACATATCGAAAGAATTTATGAAATGTCGTCTTGACAATTTTTTAATGGGTTTTTATATTATTTTACGTAAATCAAAGTATTTGCGAAAATAAATAGAAAGCCATGAATATGCCGGAACAGTTTTAAAGAGCTGCCTATAATCATTTAATTAAAAAACTAAATATCTGCAACATTCCATTATCAGAAAGTGAAGAATACGACATTTGATACGTTCTTTCGATAAATTTAACATTTAGGGTTTAACTGTAGTTCAGATTTATTTTCGCACACAAATATAAATTAATATAATATGGCGTAGACTGTAGATATTTAAAAAAAAGTTTTTGAAATAAGTCAAATCAAAGAATTCTACGTATTCAATGATATATTCTCTAATCTCATAAACATAAGCATATGCTGTTTCAAAATAATCTAGTAAGCTTTTAAGATAATCAATAATTATCAGGAATATATATTCATTGCAATTAAACATGTTGATTCAGTAAAGCAGGAAATTTTAGAAAGAATTAAAATGTGAAGTATCTTAAGGCTTGATGCTTTTATTCTATTTGGAAATTTTTGTAAATTTTTTTTTTTTATTTTTACGAAAATATATGCTGTATTTTATTAAAAATTTAAAATACAATGTATAATGGAATTGAGTTTTAGCCACTAACTCTAATTTTCTAGTCCATATGGCGTAAACCTTTGATATTTCAAACTTAGATTACTTGATCAAACATATAAAATATCAAAGGTCTGCAACATAGAGTTGCCAAGATATAGAGATAAGAAAATTAGAATTTGTGGCAAAAATTCAATTCCTGTGGCAGTTGTAAGATGACTTAAAAACAGCTAGCTAAAGAAAATGTGTGAATAAAAAACCGGAAAACTCGGAAGTATTAAACAACTTTTTAGGAACAAGTTATATCTTTAGAAACAAGTTATATCTTTAGGAACAAGTTATAACTTTAGAAACAAGTTATATCTTTAGAAACAAGTTATAACTTTAGAAACAAGTTATAACTTTAGAAACAAGTTNACTTTTTAGGAACAAGTTATATCTTTAGAAACAAGTTATAACTTTAGGAACAAGTTATAACTTTAGAAACAAGTTACAACTTTACAAACAAGTTACAACTTTACAAACAAGTTACAACTGTAGAAACAAGTTACAACTTTACAAACAAGTTACAACTTTAGAAACAATTTATAACTTTAAAACCAAGTTATGACTCTAAAATCAAGTTATAACTTTAAAAACCAGTAATAACTTGAAAATTAAGTTATAAATTTAAAAACAAGTTAGAACTTTAAAAACAAGTTAGAACTTTAAAAACAAGTTAGAACTTTAAAAAGTCCCACGAGCATGAGAACGGCAATTGTGCAGTGTAAACAGGCCCATTTCACTTAATTAGTCATTTAATAAGTGTAGTAAACTATTTTCTTTTAAACAACATAAAATACATTTAAGTATTGTCCTAATGTCTCTCCTCTACCTACCATATAATCTAATCAAAAGTGAAATGAGACTCGTGGACATTTCTCTGTTGGATCATAAAACAAAATTACTTATAAAAATGAAAAAAAAATTATAAAACATTTGTAAAAAAATTGCTATATTATCTTCTTTCTATTTTATTGTTTTCTGGTTATCACTGTATATATTTTTGCAGCAAAATTATTTACAATTTTGTTTCAGGTCCGTTCTTTAATAGAGACTAGATACCCCTGATATCATATTTGTGAAATGAAAATATAAATTTTGTTCTCTTTATTTTTCTTCATTAGCCTTCATCCTGTATCTCCTACAGGGTTACACACAAAGAATGAGAATTTAATGACTACCGGAAATTATTAAAATTTGTTTGATTTTGTTATCTACAGGTTGTCCCACGAAACATGACAGTTGGTGAATAGTTTTGAAAGTCTTCTTCCATATACTGTATTAAATACTAAAGCCTTTTTGTAGTTCATTTTCTTAAAAAAAATCTTTTACTCAAATATTTTTTTTGTTAAAAAAAATTATAATTTAAGATGACTCCCATTCCCATACAATATTTTTTATCATTCTCATTGGTATCAAACAACTTGACAAATTATGGAAGAAGACATTTTAAACCATTCACCAACTGTCATGTTTTGTGGGACACCATGTATCAATACTGGCGTTGATAAAAGACTTAAACAGAAAGTAATTTCAACTTTTCAAGTGTCCTCCATTTAAAGAGGGGCATGTCAATTCAAGATGGTAAGGAAACACAGAGATAAAATTGTGAATTTTATTAAATGTTTTAGAATTTTTTCAGCGAAGACGACATTTATTCTTCTCTTTCTCTCGCGTTAGTTGCATGGTAGAGTTGAATTGTATTTAGAACTTGAAAGGATAGCTGAGTGTCAGAGTAAGCATGAACCTGGGCTTGTTCCAACAGTTTCATTCCTTTCTAAATTAATATTTATTGTACAAGCTAAAACATTTTAATGGTGAAACGAACTTGGTAAAAGCATTAAATGAGAACACAGCGTTTAAGCTGCATCATGCGTTATGGGTGTTTTATATTTGTACCTCCAGATTACCCAGCTCTTTATACAACAGGGCGAGCCTTCACAAACATTGTAAATCAAGGAAACTATAAAAGTTTTGGTTAGGATAGCGCTGAGTCACATCGGCTAAACTCGATATTCACAAGGTAAACTTCTTAAATTGCAGAAGTTATGTTTAATACCGGGTACTCGCGGAAATTCCATTATTAAGAAATAGTTTAAAGGAAATGCTAGCTGTGTAAGATGACTTAAATTAGATCTAAAAGGTTGGAGGGTAAACGACAAAGCGATTTAAACAGATTTTAAATTCAAAAGTTTGGACTTCTAGACTCTGGAGAAAGGATAATTTCAATTTTATTGGATTAAGAATTACAGTGTTTACGGTATCGGTCTGTTAATTCGTTTAGTAACTTTTTGCAAGATTTTAACAATCCTTAAAACAAGTTGAATACACGCTGATGAGCCTCGACAGAACCTTCTAGAAATCAGAGACTTAAATTTTATTCCTCTAATCAAACTTAATATTTTAGGGTTTCCATGCACAACAAACGTTTTATTCAATTTCAGGAAAGTTTTGCCAAATTTTGTTAAAAAATGTTTTGAATAATTTTATGTTAATTATCAAAAATATGCATAACTATTGCTGTACAATGTACAAGCGGTAAGTTTTTGCGGAAGGATGATCAAAATTTTCGTTGTATCTCGAATTGTAAATTTAAATTGTATTTTTCCGGAAAATATCTTTAAAAGTTTAACCTTTCGATAAAGAGAAATTTTTTGTTAAAAACCTTTATAGCACTTTGAACCAAATAAATATAGTGTTATAAATGGATATTATGACTTCTCGTCAATTGTCAGAAATAATTAAATAAGTCTCCCTGCAGACTGATAAAAGACTTTCTCCATACTCTGCTGCCATCTATAAACATTAAACAGAGACAATTGTTTTAAATATACATACTATATGTTGTTTAAAGAATTTTGACTAATGAGGATCATCATGAGACGTAAAACATTATGTTTAGTATAATTCTTTTTTAATAAAATGTTAAGTATAAAAACTGAAATATAAATATTTATAAATATACCCATGTAGATATATAAATATTATAGCATCAGTCACTTTCGTCAGATGAGAGTGCATGAGAGTCAAAGTTTAGCAAAGTGCAAGAAAATTAAATTTTAAAGTGAAACCTTTTAAATAACCTTCGAAAACAATACACGTCTGCATCAAAATAAATTTAGAAATTTAATAATTGTTTTCTTCGAGATTTTATTAAATAATATTATAAAAAATGGTCTCACCTGAAGATTATTTTGAAGTAAAGAATTATCTACTGCTAGTTCTAGACATCGAATATAGCTCTCACAATAGGGATATACAATACCTACGATAAATTCACATTATTTTTTGAACAATTTTTTAACTCTGGGGGAGGGAAACAGAATTGAAAAGACATCGTATTTTCTCTTAAAGAAAACTTTTTCTCCACTGAAAAGGCTGTAAGCGTAATTTTAATTGACAGTTAATGCAAAAATGGCATTGCCCAATATACAACGCGACGCTTCTTATAAAACCTCAATATGATATTTGATTCTGATAGAAATACACATATCACTTTAGCAGAGATTAAGGTTCTAATCTGATAATAAAAACATCATCATCTTCTGCAGCTACTACGTTACCTGTCATAAGTTCAATAGTTTGCTGTCGTACATGCATAGGAATACCTGTCATTAGTTCAATACATTGCTGTGGTCCATGCATAGGAATACCTGTCATTAGTTCAATACATTGCTGTGGTCCATCCATAGGAATACCTGTCATTAGTACAATACATTGCTGTGGTCCATCCATATGAATTACCTGTCATTAGTTCAATACATTGCTGTGTACTATCCATAGAAATACCTGTCATTAGTTCAATAGTTTGTTGTGGTCTATACATAGGAATTATTTATTTGTTTAATACATTGCTGTGGTCCATCCATAGGAATACCTGTCATTAGTTCAATACATTGCTGTGGTCCACCATAGGAATCACCTGTCATTAGTTCAATACATTGCTGTGGTCCATCCATAGGAATACCTGTCATTAGTTCAATACATTGCTGTGGTCCATCCATAGGAATACCTGTCATTAGTTCAATACATTGCTGTGGTCCATCCATAGGAATTATCTTAGCAGTGATCAGTTGTTCCACTGCAGTTAGGACTTCATGGTAGATTTCTAAGAAAAAAAAAACATTTATAACATGAGATACAGTCGTTAATGTAATGAACACGAATTTCCATTTCAATTTTGATTTGTACCAAGCTTTCATTTAGCATGGATACACATAAATATAGAAACAAAATAAAGCTGTCAATTAACAGCTTCTCTTTGTTTACTTGTAAACTTTTAATTAGTAATATAAAACTTCTTATTATTAATATAAACGCAGACCAATGTACTTAATTTTCTAAAATTGAAAGTTGGAATTAGCCATACAGTGGGTCCCATAATGTTTTGGAATTGAAAGACGACTTTTAAGCTCAAGTTATGATTTTAAGTAGTCCAATAAACATAAAACACAGCAATTGTACAGTGTACAACAACACCAAAGACACACTTACTTGCCTAAAATGTCGTCTTCATAATACATACAGTGATGCTCTAAAAAAGCCGGAATAATATGAATTGATTGAAAAATTCAAAGTCGCCTTTGACCCTTGGAAATAGTTTGCGGCATTCAACATAGATAACCTGTTTTAGCAATTTTATTGTATGACACAAAATCAAAAATTAGTCCTCGTCCCTGCCATTTTTTGCTTTCATAATTACCGGAGATATGAATGATTTTATTCAGAATGAGACATTTTCATAGTTTTGATTAATAAATTGAAATTTAAATCAAATTCTTAATTATGTTTCTGTCAGGAACATATATACCTATATTCTCTTTAGCAACTTCTTTATTACAGTATGTACATATCACACCGTACGTCTCATCTCTTATTTATAAAAACTTTACTTTGGTGATTTTAACGAGAAAATAAAATATGGAATTATTATTATTTTTGAATAGTTATTGATGTTTTACAGTGATAACCATAATACTCTGGAATAGGAAGTCGACTTCTAGACTCAAGTTATGACTTTAAATAGTTCAATATACATGAGGTACAGCAATTGTACATTGTAATGCAGACCCATTTCATTTAATAAGTGATCCAATAACTTACCAATAAAGGTATTCGCTTTGTACCAACATCAAATGTACTTCAGTATTGCTTTAATTTCGTCTTCCTATTCTACAGTTTTCTGATTATCAAGCTGTACATGAGTGCAGTACATTAATGAGGCTTCACAAAAATCTGAGCCCTTTGTTATTGTTTAAAGTTGTATGCTCTATAAGATAGAGATTGATCAAATAATTTTCTGCATGTACATTGTAAACTGAATAATTTCTGTTTTTTATGGTTTTTGAAAACAGTTTCCCTGGAACATTTGACCGGCCTCCCAGTGCAGCTTGGACATCGTAAACTCCACAGAAAATCACTTTCTTTTCCCCGAGCATTATCTACAAAATAGTCCATACACTGCAATGCATTTAAAAATCGTAATGCAATATGCAAAAAAGTATTTTTTTACAGAGTGCTACTTAGAATAGCTTAAAGAACACTTAATTTTTACATTGTACCACCTAGAACAGCTTGAAGAACACAATATGTTTATAATGTACTACTTAGAATAGTTTGAAGAACGTGATCTTTTTACAGTGTACTACATAGAATAGTTTGAAGTACACTATCTTTTTACGGTGTGTAACCTAGGATAGCTTGAACAACACTATATGTTTACAGTGCACCACCTAGGACACCTTGAAGAACTCTATATTTAACAGTATACTAACCATAAAAGCTTGAAAATCACAATATTTTACAGTGTACTACCTAGAACAGCTTGAAAACCATTATCTTTTTACAGTGTACAACCTAGGACAGCTTGAAGAACACTATATTTTTACAGTGTACTATATAGAACAGCTTGAAAAACAATATCTTTTTACAAAGTACTACCTAGAACAGCTTGAAAAACAATATCTTTTTACAAAGTACTACCTAGAACAGCTTGAAAAACAATATCTTTTTACAAAGTACTACCTAGAACAGCTTGAAAAACAATATCTTTTTACAAAGTACTACCTAGAACAGCTTGAAAAACAATATCTTTTTACAAAGTACTACCTAGAACAGCTTGAAAAATATTATCTTTTCACAGAACAGCTTCAAGAACACAGTGTACTACCAATAAAAGGTTGAAGAACACAGTGTACTACCTATAACAGTTTGAAGAACACAGTATACTACCTAGGACAGCTTGAAGAACACATTATACTACCTAGGACAGCTTGAAGAACGCAGTATACTACCTAGGACAGCTTGAAGAACGCAGTATACTACCTAGGACAGCTTGAAGAACGCAGTATACTACCTAGGACAGCTTGAAGAACGCTATCTTTTTGTCCAATTAACTCTGTATATTTAGGATTAAAATCTTCAACAGATTTCCAGCTGAGTTTCAGTCCCTGGCACCTGAAATCATATATAACAAGAAATCGAAAAATTATTGATAATAAAATTATTTCAAATTGTTAAAGGGACTGTTAGCGTAATTTCAAATGAACCTCTATGGAAAGATGGTAAACCCGAATTCATATAGAAACCACCATTGAAATAATCATTTTTTATTGTAAACCCAACCAGGGGCTCTCAACTTGTACATACTACATAGTACCGTACAGTTCATTGCTCCCAAGCGGAGAAATGAAGCTTAATAATCCAAGAATAAAGCCAAACAATATAAATCTAAGCCCAAGAGGATATTGCACCTTTAGTTTGCAGCCTGAGTATACAACAGGCTAGACCTGCAAGGGTATTGAATCCTTTCTTATCCGGTAGATATCAAGTCGGTACCATTTGAAGGGCAAAGCAAGGGGAGGATAGATGCTGGAGAAAGGGGCAAAACGGCATTTATATAGCCGATCGGCCATCTTATGCCCCAGAACTCGTCAGTATGCATGAAGCAACAGATAGGAGAAGATATATATTATATATATATTCATTCGCTACTATTGGCGTATGTCATGTTAAAGAAGAGTTAATCAGTCATTTGTACATCAGTTTGTAAACCTAAACCTGTAAATATAGTTTGTGTGTAACCATGATTAATTATTCCACTCAACCTGGGTCTTTTACTGTCAGTCCTTCTTATAATTATACACAATTCACATTTGATCTATCAAAGCTTTTATGGCCGGGTACCGTTGCTATCTTTCATGGTGGGTCATTTGAAATCACTCGTACAGTCCCTTTAAGTAAAAAGTATAATGGAATTGTTCGGGGGAGATGAAATAAAATTAAAGTACTGCAGATATTTTTGAACAATTTTAGAAGTAAAAAATAAAAATATAAGAAAAGGTTTTAAAAAGTTAAATGAAGTTACCTTAAACAAATGCAATGAAAATGATAATATTTGGATAATTTTTCTCTTCTTTTCTCAGTACTTTCACTTAGTCCGATGTAGGAGATAAAAATGTCGCTGTGACATAATATGATTTCAAATTGTTTAGAATTTTTATCTGATTTGAATTTGTTTTGAAATTATTTTATCAGATTGAAAAAAAATGAAAATCATATGAACCTCAGAGCAGCAGAATGTATGTTTACATTCACTCTAATTATAATCTGTTTCCCAGAAAACTTGAAAAATATAAATCAAAACTAAGAATTGTGTAGATTAAAAATCTTCAAAATAAATGAAGATTGAAGATATCATGTCACAATGTCTTGAAAAATTAAATTAAGAAAAGTTTTAAAAGTTTAGTTAATAAAACTTAAATACATCAAACATTTTTTAGTTAACGAAAAATGTAAAAATGTTTGTTATTCTTTAATGAATGTTGCTTCTAATCTGCTACTGCAAAAAGTATTTGACATTTTAGACGAAATAGTCTCACCTTATTTATCAAACACACTTCTGTGATTTGTTAGCATTTTTAATTATACTTCAGAGACAACTTGGCGATATTTTTTCTTTATTTCGGACATTCCTGGCTCATTGCAGCTTTGCATGTCCCATTTAGGTTTTGCAGTGAACGAAACATTTCGCGAAAAAATGCAAAAATTTTTGTTCGTATTTAGCTAATTTTTTCGCGAAAATTCGCAAAATGAATAAAGCGAATAAGGCGAAAACGAAGCGAAACTTTGCTATAAATTTTCGAGAAACGATTTTTCCTTTTCGCTGCAAACCGTAGCTCCAAATAGACCAGAGACCCAATAAAACATGGGAATTCAGTGACAAATTCGATATCATTATCACCTTTGTAATGAATTAGCATTACTCTGTATTCTGAAATTTTCTTGTTTTATTAAGTACAACCGTATGCAGTCAAAACATAAACAAACAAATTGTTAACATCGCAGACGCAAATCTTATGGATTACAGCTTTCTCAGTAGGTATCACTATACTAAATCAAAGAAATATTTAAAATGACGATATCGAATTCTTCACTGAATTCCCCTGTTTATTGGGACACCCTGTACAAAGGGGAACATAAACCTGTAATTCTTACCTCTGCTTCAGCATTGGGTACGCATGAATGATTAAGAAGTGAAGGAGCTAAATACAAACCCCAACCTGCCTTATCATCTTAACATAACGGCGAGGTGGTAGGCGATTATAATAATCTAAGGATGACGACTTTTTATTAAAAAAAAATTAAAAGTAAGTAATTATTTATGTAAGAATTATAACAATTATAACAAAAACATACAATATTAAATGTTTCAGGAGAAAATATTTTAAAACCTCCAAAAATAGAGGCTGTGGGAATATTTCCCCCCAATTCTAAAAGAAATATAAAAAAGAAAAGGAAAGGAAAGGAAAAAGAAAGTTATACATTTCTTGTTTACATTATATTTAATATAAACTGGTGATGGATTGTTAGTATTTTTCGACGCTGAAATAACATTTTTTATAAATAATTAATAATGAATGTCAAGCTTTTAACGCATGGAATAACGATACACAAAAAATGGAAACAAAAAGAAGTTGTCAATTAGAAAAGCCTCTCTTTATTTATTTGTAAACTTGTAATTCGAAAAAAGCCTGTAAACCATTAAAACTAAAATAATAGTCGTCTTTATTACATTGATATAATTGCCTACAACCGAATCAAAATAAATTTCTAATTTGAGATGTAAATTCTAAATTATTGGAGATGGGAACTCGTTTATTGTGGATATCGATATCAAGGCCGAAATCAAGGGGTCAAGCAGATTCTCCGTATAATTGAAAAATGCCCGAAAAGGAACTCAAGATCAAGCAATCGAGATTATGGTATTCAACACAACGCTCCCAGCACCGGTCAAATTTCAACTGAAAGCAGGGTGCAGTGTGTTAAAAAAAATAATGAGCCCAAAAATTGCTATTGGAGGGATGAAGAAAAAATTGGTAATTCATCGAACGGATGAAGAAAAATTGGGCAATTTATCGGAGGAAACAAGAAAAATTTGGCAATTTATCAAAGGGATTTAGAAATACTTGGCAATTTATCGAAGTAATTAAGAAATATTTGACCATTTATCGAAGAAATGAAGAAAACTTTGGCAATTTTTCGAATAAATAAAGAACAATTTGGCAATTTATCTGAGGAATTAAGAAAAATTTGGCAATTTATTGGAGGGAGTAAGAAATTTTTGGCAATTTATCGGAGGAATTAAGAAAAATTTGGCAATTTATCGGAGGGAGTAAGAAAACATGTTGAAGAAAAGATGAAAAGAATGATTATGAATTCTACTAATAATGTCTTAATGTCTAACCAACTGTTATAGTTATAGAAAGAGAAATGTTTAAAATTTTTAGATTTTCTTTAAAACTTATTTTTTTACCTTCTTCATCATTAATTTCAAAACTGTTTATTACAAGGCGGCCATACACCTAACCAACACAAATTTTAATTTTTTTGATAAAATGGTAAAAAAGGAAAAAAACTCGATTATGTTAATGTCATTTTAAAAAAAGTATGTTAATTTAAAATTCATTCTTAGTTTATCCGTTTTGCCTCAGTTACATAGAGTTAACAATAATTTATTATTTTTTTTGTAATGTTGAATTCAAACGTAAGTAAACAAAACAAGATATAAGATATACCGTTGCTTCTGAAAATTGTTGGACCCCATTTTGAAATCTTGTACTGTGAGAACCAGAAAACTGTGGAATAGGAAGACGACATTAAAGCAATAATTACGTGTATTTGAGATTGTTATACCGCAACTAAGTCTCATTGTTCAAGAGACTATTTAAACCATAACTTGAGTCTAAAAGTCTTCTTCCCATTCCAGTTGCCTGGTTCTCACTGTATTGTGTGCAGAATAAAATTAAATTAAAAATTAATCCTCTAGAAAATATTCCCAGGACTGTGTAGACTCAGGAATCAAATCTAAAAAGATTATTTTATAGAAAAAAAAGAGATTGGAACTTCTGAATATTAAAGGTCTAAACTCAATACTTTTGAATTGAAGCAATTAAGTGCTTAATCCGCGAAACAAGGAACTCAGTTATTTTTCTCTCTTTGTGCTTTTTATTATTCAGACCATTAGAGATGTAAGAAATGAACTCATCCAATCCATGCACCGGACCACTAAAGATATGAGTGCTTTTTCAGGAGATTAACGATACAAAATTTCTGACCTCAGGTCTGATTAGAAAAATAATAACTAACCTTTCAGGATATTAAAGAGATTGAACAGACCCTTATCCTCTCGTGACAGCTTATCCGAATGGCTTAAATAAACATATTTTTTTCTTTAATATAATTTTCCTCAAATTTTTAGAAATAATATTTTTAGATCAAAAATATCAAATTGATAAAGTGGCAATAATCCATTCATGTCACTTCAAAACTACAAAAAAATGAAGTGTTGTTCTAAAAAAATCGGAATAATATTAATTGATTGAAGACTTGAAAGTCGTCTTTGACCTTAGGAATAGTTTGCTGCATTTCTTATTTACAACCTAAATTTAGAAGTATTTTAATAGTCCTACTCGTCCTACACCTGCACTTTGCCAAAATGTGGTCTATAATTTTTTCCTTTAAAAAACATCAGAGATATTATAAATTTCGTTCAAATATCTATTTCAAAATAAAACTATGAAAATGTCTAATTCTGAACGAAATCATTCATATCTCCGATAATTTTGAAAGTAAAAAAATGGCAGACCTTTTTTTTGAATTGTTCCATAAAAAATATATTGCAAAAGAAAAGGTTACAATGCCGCAAACTATTTCTAAGAACAAAGACGACTTTCAAGTCTTCAATCAATTAATATTATCCAGGTTTATACAGAATAGCACTGTATTAACAACCTGAGAAGATGTTTAAATTTTCTGGGTTTTTCAAGAACCCCTGAATTCTCCTCTGCCTCCCAACCATTTTCAATCTAAAATTAAATTTTAAAAGGTTTTGACAAAAAGAAAAAATATTGTTTACCTCCAGTTTTAGTAGAAGCTTTACCATAAATCTTGTCTGATCTGACAAGAAAAACTCCATTATTTATTTATTTAAGAAAACTTTATGTTTCTTGAATTTAGGGGAAACAATTTATTCCTGATATTAGATTTTAAATGTATATAATTCACATTGAATAGTTTTTTATCCGTTTTTTTACCTTCAGTGACACACAGGGATAACTAGAAAACTCTGGAATAGGAAGATACAAAATTTAAGCAATAATATATTATCTAAATTTTATATAGTTATGAAGCAAATAGTTTTACCAGCAGTTTGAAAATCAACTCATTAAATGAATTGTGTCTGTGTACACTGCACAATTCTTGTTTTTATATTGATTCTACTATTGGTTGATTGTACTATTGATTGATTGTACTATTGATTTATTGTACTATTGATTGATTGTACTATTGATTTATTGTACTATTGATTGATTGTACTATTGATTGATTGTACTATTTAAAATCATAAATTGTGCCAAGAGTCATCTTCCTATTCCACAGTTTCATGGGTCTCACTGTATACTGCTTTTATTGTAATATGTTGACTTTGACTGAATACATTGGTCTGAGCCCGCGATTTAAAAGCTTCGGCTCGAGTCTTAATTCCTTAAACGCAGCTTTAAGACCCAATCTTAGACCCAACTCTGACGACAGCTTGTGTCACGTGATTGACAGCTGCGAGATCTTAGGCTCGACTTAAGGAGTTAAGCCCAATGAAAATAAAACCGACCTTGGTTGGTTTTAGTGAAGAATAAGGCTCAATGTTGGGTCTTATTCTCATCAAAACCCGGAATGCGCCAATTCCAACTATGAAAATCCGCCAACTACAACATTAAACCGGTTTTATGAACTAAACTCTGTTAAAAATTAGATGCAACTTAAATCCGAAAGCCCGAGCCGTAAATAAGGCTCAACGACAGCTTAGACCCGAGTCGTATTTT